AAAGACATCTGGTGGTTTAACCTAACCTACATTAAATTTTTTTTTTTAAAAAATACTTATTACGACCGGACATTTTAATCGCGTTCAAATAATTGGTTTTAATCACATAGGCGTCTCATTCTGGGTTCGCTATTTAAGACGGCAGACAGTGCGGCAGATTCTAATACTATCAGGACAAACCTCTTTTTTTTATTAAAACAAGATAAAAAAAGTGTACTGATATATACATAGACATTAAAACTAATACAAAAAAGTGAGATTTTTTTTTATCGTGTACCTATATTCTTTGTCTTTTGAATCATTTTCATTAAACAAATTTAATGTTTTCTTCTCACCAACGCCGAGGATATGTAGGATATTTTACAAAAGTTTTTAGTAACCTCAGATCCTTTAATTTGTGGCCTGAGAAATTTTCCTTAAAAAAAAATAACTTTTTTGATGAAGATGTTAAACTTTTCATAAGCGAGTTTAAGGTGTAGTAATGTAAACGATATTCTGTATGATATTTTTTTTATTATTATCTCTTATATAATTACAAAATATCTATTCCTCAATATTTTGGCGTGGTACACTACTCTCCTGCCTAAAATGAGGATCGAGGACCCCAGCTGCCTCCCCCGAATTTGTTATTTCCTCCAGAAAATTGGAAATTTCTAGCCTTAGCTGGTCCCGATTCATTGTTGGAAAAATTGCATCGGGGCCAAATATTAGGACTCTACGAGCGTTTGGACTAAGACGCTGTAGAGAGGGCCTAAAATGAATGTCAAATAGGCCCATCATATGTTGTCTTATACTTTCTCGATCCATTGTCGGTTAGTTGCCGGTGATATTTTTATTCAAATAAAGTCAATCCTTATATTATATTTATGAATATTTTGGCTTTTATCGATACCGTACATACCGATTTTTTGTAACAAAAAATGTATGTTTTTATTTCCTGTGGATATTATGGTACTTATACACGATGAGACAATAAAATAAATGTCTGTTAAATTTCTGTAATGTATGTATTAATTCAATTGCTCACTCTATATAGGTATCTGTTGGTTGAAAAAATGTAAAAAGATAACAAAGAGTCGATAAACAGGAGATTTGAGAAGAAAGTGTCTTGTAAAAATATCACTAGAATTTTCCAATGAGTATATTTGTTTAGTTCAAAGGGAAAAGTGATAGAAACTGGAAACGTAAATATGGAAAATTTATTATCGGACTTTGATTGTTTTCGTCGTTTTAATGACAACAAATTATACTGCCGCAATTGTGATCAGGTGTTAGTTTTTAATGGAAAGTCAAGTATGACACAACATGTGAAAACACAAAAACACATGCAATCTTTAGAGGGATGTCCAGACAAAATCTTTTATGAAGATTTATGCAACGCATTTGTTTCTGCAAATATTCCATTAACAAAATTAAATAATACAATTTTCAAAAATTTTCTTTGTAAATATACTAAACGTAAAATACCGGATGAATCCACAATTAGAAAACATTATATTCAAAATCAGTACGATAAAGCAATGACGGCAATAAAAACGAAAATTTCCAGCAAATATATTTGGGTTAGTGCAGATGAAACGACTGACATAAAGGGTAGATGTGTTGTTAATGTTGTTGTAGGATTATTAAGTGCTGAAAATACTTCACAACAGTATTTAGTTTCTAGTGTGTTTCGTGAAACTGTGAACGCTGAAATGATTTATGAAATAGTGAAACGTGGATTGAACAATGTAATTGATAATGACGTTTCAAAAGTTTTATTGTTTATTTCAGACGCGGCAAGTGTAATGTTGAAAACAGGGAAACTATTACAAGAACATTTTCCAAACATGCTGCATGTAACTTGCCTTGCTCACGCGTTACACCGAGTTTGTGAGTTTATCCGTGACAGCTTTCCAGACATTAATTCGTTGATTAGCTGTTTTAAAAAAATTTTGTTAAAAGCACCGTCCCGAGTTTCTTTATATAAAGAAATATGTCCGAATATCCCCCTACCTCCACAACCAGTTATTACACGATGGGGAACTTGGTTACAGGCTGTGTTCTTTTTTTCGGAGCATTTCGACAGACTAAAAGTATTTATTTCCAACTTATCAGAGGACGCTCTCTCTATCACTCAGTGTAAAGGTTTAATAACAAAAACAACTTTGCAGTCGGAGTTAAATTTTCTTGCGACTTATTTTTCGTGTCTCCCAGAAACTATAAAATTCCTTGAAACCCGTAACTTACAATTATCGGTTGCTATGGAAAAATTTGAATCGACATTGTTACACTTAAAAAAGGTAAAGTGGCCCTTACAAGATAAATTTAACCATAAAATAGATTGTGTTATTAAAAGAAATCCAAATTTACAGACTCTGAAACAAATCTCCCTGAACAATTTTAACGATTATGAAACTGCTTTAAAATATTGTGATTTTGTTCCACATTTTTCATTTGCTCCTGTAACGAGTTGTGACGTAGAACGATCGTTTTCTAGGTTTAAAGATTTATTGACTTCTAAAAGAAGTAATTTCACTGAAGACAATTTAGAAAAATATGCAGTCATACAAACATATTTTTCAAATGAAGAAGATTGATATTAATTTGTATTGTATATATTGTATATAATTGTATATTTGCTACTTTAGGATAAAGAGTGTATATCTAAACATAAAACTAATGATGGTGTATCCTCGTTGATATATTTATTAGTCAATAATATATTAACAGAAAAAGCCAACAACATTATCCCACAACACAATAAAAAAATAAATAATAATATCATTTGTAATTATATAATAATATCCAACCAAATTTGAACTAAAATTTAATAAAATAATTATTGCAATGTAAATGTAATAATAAGCCCGCCCCAAATGTTACGCCCGGGCGATAAAAATCCAATATCTTATCTACTGTGTCGACCAGTTCAGTAAATAACTTGTTTTATTCAGAATGTATTATTCAAATCGAAGGTCCGCTCTTACCGTTACTTCGCTGATAAGAATAAATTAAATTGTCCGGTCTTTACATGACTTTTTTAACTCGTTCTGTTAAACTTTTTGTAGCGCTTCCTTTATGGAATTAGTCAAGGTGAGTCAAGGTTATTGTTTAACTTTCTTTTGTGTTTTTTCTGTTATTTTGTATATGTTAAAGTCCGTTCATGCTTTTATAATTGTTTTTATTACAACTGACTCCTTGACATTCCATTTAGGTGTGCCTGATGATGAAGTGACAACTTCGAAACCGGTCGCCAATAAATTGACTTGTGAGAAATAAAGGACCTTTTCTTTAACCTTTACACTTAATCCCTACTACTCACATATGGCTACCCTCACTCCAAATGATACAAATTAAAATGTAAACAATGAACATGAACGCCAATGTTGCCAAATGATGAACTGATTTTTAAACAAAATTAATAAATGAACTGAAATTTAAAAAAAATCAATATAATAAATCGGTTTTATAAAAAAATCCTTAAATAAATATAGATTATCATAACATACACAAATTTTGATTCTTAAATAAAAGGTTTTATCCACTTCTTCCAGAGCTAAAATCCGACGACGTAGCGAAGTTTTGCTACTTCTGGCAACACTGAACGATATCCTACTTATTCGGACCTTCTACAAATTTCCTCCAAAATGGTATCACTTAGCTTGAATCGCGAATGCAACATAACCTAATTTATTTTCAAAGCCAGATTTACACCACCTAATAAATTTAAAGTTAATTTAAATTTAGCTTTAACTTTAAATTTATTAACGATTATCTCTGTATTTAATCACACATTATTCGCTCCGTGCGAAGTCATGGAAAGGGAAGCAAAAGCGATACTAGCGCTAGCTGCGGGTAATTCGTGCATTTTAGGGGGATATTTTGTAATTTTGGCATATCAAATACACGTATACATTTTACTTTTTTTCAAAAAAGTAGGTAAAAACAACACAATAAGCAACCGGAGTTGCTGTGTTGAAAATTGTACAAATACTAGCAAAAAAAAAACAGTGAAACTTATATAACAAATTTCACTAACAAAGTGGAAATTAAATCAAAGAAATAAATGGATAGGTGTACAATAAGAAGAAAAATTACCTTTATTTTTGTGATAATAACAGTAATGCTGAAAATAGTAGACATCAGAAACTAGAAAGTTTTTAAATAAACAATAAATTATCATTTTACGATGTTCTTTAATATCCCTTTATTCTTAAATGTTCATTCAGCAAGGACTAGATTTCAATATTTCTGCCGTTGATTATAATATTTGGCTGGTATGCAATTTTGTGACTTCATTCATTCTATGTTTTCTTTAGAACAAAAATGAAAATATAAGTAGCGATCCTTTTTATACATTTTAAATTCACGCTATTATAAATGGTTTCTTCAATGACAACTTATTAGACTTAGGCAACTTCTCATACATTTTCCAGTACTGTTGCCTGCCTATATTTTATTATTGATTTTTAATGATTATACATAATTTTCTTCAATTTAAGCGTGAAAAATATATAATAATAATAAATTAATGTTTTAATTGTTTTATAAATCCATATACTTTTATTAAAACTAACATATATACTTTTTATTTACGAATTCTATTAAAAATTGTATTTGTCAGTATAGGCAGAAATACTCCTTTAATACCAAAACAAATTGGCGCTGCTGTCGCGCACGGAGCGAATAGCAAAGTGAAATTTAAAGGGGTAAATCAGTAAAATTATTGATTTCTTTGTCATTATTTTTGAAAACATATTTTTTTATGGGTGTAGAACGGGTTTGAATTTAGTGATAGCAGCGCGCTAAGCGCTTACGGTTCAACTACCAACAAGGAAACAAATCCCGCCATTTAATCAAACCTTCTCTTTTTATTTTTCTATGTGTAACTATCTATTTCATTGACCTTGTCAAATTACCAGTATTTGTTGGCTGATATAATAATATATAAAGGTACATTGGCTGGATAAACGATAAGATAAGGCCTTGGGAATTCATAATTCTAATAAAAAGAAGATGATTTTTAACACAACGTGAGCACAACACATGTGGTTATTGGTATTGGTTATGTTGTTAATGCTTCATAAATAATAATTATTAAAACACATTTTTATTTCTTAAAATATGAGTTCTGATTCTGAATTAAGCGACAGTGATGTCGAACTTCAAGAAGCTCTACTGGAAGGAAGATTAAAGCCTGGGTTAAATAAAGTAGAGAAGGTGCCAAAAAAATTCATAAATAATGTAAGTGGTCTTAAACAAAAAGTTGAAGAATTAAAACTTAATCTGCCTTGGATTGAAAGACTTGACTGTACAAGTTCACAAGCCCCATTAGCACCAGAATTCGCAGCTCAAATGTTAATTCATGAAGAAAAAAGGAGTAACCAATTGAAAAATAATAAGAAACTTCCCCAATTTAGTCCATCTGAAGACCCAGTACTTAACGATTTTAAAAGAGAAATTATGTTTCAAAGGCAGGCACAGGCTACGATTCTAGAAGCTATACCTAAACTAAAAGCAATGGGAATTTCTACGAAACGACCAGATGACTACTTTGCAGAAATGGCAAAAACAGATGCACATATGCATAAAATTCGAGAACAACTACAGAAAAAACAAGAACAACAAAAAAGAATTGAAAGAGTAAAACAGCTAAGGCAACAAAGAAAAGATGGAAAGATGTTACAAATTCAAACAAAATTACAAAGGTCTCAAGAAAAGAAAGAAATGCTTGCACAGGTGAAGAAAGTCCGGAAAGGCGTGAGCAAAAATCTCGATTTTCTTGATGGTAAGAATAAACCTTCCAAAAAGATTATTGAAAAACGCAAAATGAAAGATAAAAAATTTGGTTTTGGGGGTAAAAAAAGAGGTATGAAGAAAAATACTAGAGAAAGCGCAGGTGATATTAGTGAATATAAGAGTCCAGGAAAACCAGGCAAGAAATTTAACCAAAATCAACCAGGACAGAAATTTAATCAAAATCAAGCAAGACAGAAATTTACCAATAAAAATAAAGGAAAGAGTAACAGAATGGGGAAAAATAGACGAATGAAAATGAAGACAAAAAGCAAAAAATAAAATGTAAACAGTTTTTAGTTATTAAAGTGTTTATGGTCTGTAATTTTTCTTCCTAAATACTGAAACATTGTGTGGCAACTCACCATATACCTATTTCAAAAGCTAAATTAGCAACCTAATTGATGGATTACAGTTTTTAACTAATAAAAAACATGTAGAATTTCTTTAATAAGTTATGAAAATGTTTGTTTTTATTATTAAACCAAAACTTTCTATTTATTTTAAAGTATATTTTTATATTATCAGTAAGAATATACTGTTGGGAACCACTTAGCATAAAGGGTCCAAGCGCAGTAGTTAACAAGTGTTCTGGTTTTTCTCGATTTACTTCGGATTTCTCATTTTCTCAGTCCAGTGTTCTGCATTGGGATTCTGTTTGCTATCGACTGACTGGATATTGAACGACACTATAAGTATCGTCTTGAAGGAAACCGAGATTTTCGAGCGTGATACCTATTGTTAGGTGGGCAGGTATATTTGTTTCAACTTGATTCAGATTTTTATAAAATTATGCAGTTCAAATAAAATCTGGTAATGTTGTAGTTGAAGGGTCTGGAAAACTCGCGTATCGGGGACAACACTAAATTTTTTATTCTTTACTTTCTTTTACATAAATCTTCTGTTTCATTTTCTTACTCTTTTAAAAAAATCTGATGTGTCCAACACATGACTTTCCTATCTAGTTATAGGCTTTTTCCGGTTATTTTGTACAACCTATTACAGCATCTCTATAAATGTTTAGAGGATAAACTAAATACATACATTGTCCACATACATCTACCTCGAAACATTTTTCTATAGATATTCATTGAAAACGAAAATACTGAAAAATTTATATTTAGCACTTTTCCATTACGGTCCATTTTAGAAAAATCATGTATAAACAAAAATTATAGAGATCGATATCGCAAACAACTTTAAGTTCAACAATTTTCATAAAAATCAGAATTTTGCACATTTTGTCAAATTTCTCGAATACGGGCCATTTCAGCAAATTTTGACATAAAACAAAAATTATAGATAATAATATTAGAAGTAACTTTTATTTGAACAATTTTCTTCTCCAAACATAAATAACAGATATATTCCATAAAATATAAAAACGGCCTCCCATAAAGTACCCCCCTAGATGTTCCGACGTTGTCCAAAATCTAATCATTTCACGTCAGGCCGAAATAAACCTTAAGTTTAAAATTTAATGTTTTTTTCTTTATCCGTTTTTGAGTTTTCTTCAAAATTCGAAATTTACACATTTTCTCAAATATCTCGAATACGGTCCATTTTAGAGAAATTATGTAAAAATTAAAAATTTAGAGAATTATATTACAAACAACTTCTATTTGAACAATTTTTATAAAAAAATATTTTTTTTACATTTTGTCAAATTTCTCGAATACGGACCATTTTAGGAAAATTTTGTATAGAACAAAAATTATAGATAATTATATTAGAAGTAACTTTTATTTGAAGAATTTTCTTCTACAAACGTAAATAACAGATATATTCCATAAAATATAAAAATTACTACCTATAAAGTACCCCCCCCCCCCAGATGTTCCGACTCTGCCCAAAATCTAATCAGTTCATTAGACGCTGGAATGAAGCTTAAGTTTAAAATTTGGTGTTATGCGACCTACAGACACACACACACAGACATCATCGCGAAAATAGTCAAAACGGATTCAGGGGACCTCAAAACGTAAAAATCCGTCGAAAACTCGAAGTCGAAAAAAATCATGATTCCTATACTTTCCTTATATCTGTATACAGATAGGAAAGTAAAAATGGCAAAGAAATTTATTTGTATAGATATACAGGGTGTCCCGAAATTAGACGGTCATATTTTAACAGCGTAATCTACATCCTAAAATAGGAATAAAAGTTCATATAAACATAGGTCCGAAAACGTTTTGTTTTCGAGGTACAGGGGCCCAATTCCTGACGCCTTCGTTAACTTATCGCATGCGATAACGTATGCGACTTGATGAAAGTGTATTCCTGAGCTGGCGGCATTCGTCAAATTTATTAACGCGTGCGCTAAGAAATGATGATTTTCAAAGAGCGCTCATGACCGTTCGACAACCACTTTATCGCATTCGTTTAGGTGAAAGTAAGGTTATAATTGTCAATTAATCCTGCTTTATCATACGTGATTCTGATTCATGTTTCTATGTATTGGTTTTGGTTATGTTTTGTGATTTATTGGGAAATATTTATTTTTAATTTGACTTTTTTGAACATTTTATTAGTTACTATAGAATATAAAAATTAAACTTTTTGTACCGTGAACTCTTTTATTGGACGCTTAAGTGCCAGTTTATTTTGGTATATTTTATTTAGTATGGATGATGTAGAAGAAATAGGAGTTTTACAGGCACTAAACAATGTTATAAATTCTACTAAAATTTCACGCTGTTTTTCCGTTATTCGTGAACCCCGCTGTTCCATTTTTAATATTCTAAATCTAAACCACTCCAATTCTCAAGTCCAAAATTCAAATAATCACAGTTAAAACATCCAAAAACCAAAAATTATTAGACATCTGCAATCCATTTAATTTTATAATTTTTGCATTTTTGGCAATTTTGACATATGTCAATGCAATTATCTCATATTCAGTGATACCATCTTTGGTATTCTCAATCCTCATTGGTTAAGACTATGCAATAATCAAAGACTCTTCGTTAACACGTTCGACTTGATTCGCGATTATCGCATGGTGTTCAGGAATACTAAATTGCTGTCGTATGCGTTAACGACCATGCGTTACTTAGCGCATGCGGCAGTTAACGCATGTTTCGAGAATTTGGCCCCAGGGTGTTACAAGTGAAATCTTGATGGCACATTTTTGTAAATATTTTCTAAAATTTTTTTAGTCACAGGTTTTCCAAAGTGAAAAAAACAAAAATTTCTGATTTCACACGCCTACTAATTATTGTTTACATTTTCGAATAAGATAACAGTAAACTGTCTGCAGAGTGGGGTTATGTTAGGTCTGTTCTGGTTTTGAGAAATAACGATCCACAACTGTCGGGCTCATGCGCAGTAGATAAAAAGTGTTCTGGTTTTTCTGGGACTACTTCGGATTTCTCAGTCCAGTGTTCTGGTTTCGTATCCGAAATAATCCGTGATTGTTGTAAATAGTCAAAATGTGTTCATGCTTGGGAGTGTGGATCGACTCGGACTGTTTTGACCGCGCATGCGTTTTTGAAGTGTTATGAATATTGTATTGGCTTTTTAGACCATACGGAACGTATACAATCCCAAATTGTTTATTTTATATGTGAACGAATGTCTATTGTTCTTGTTTTATTTGTAAATTAAAGCAATTTTGGAATTATTAATTTTTTTATATTATTCTGTTTTTATTTATTCCATTGAAATGTGATGATAATGATAAACATATACATGCTAATGTTATTTGAAGCTGAGCTTTCAAAAGGAACTTCATTATTCATTATTATAATAAACAAAACACCTTTATGTGTTCTGGTTTTCCAACAATTTTAAACAGTCGGGGATTTTTTGCCTTTACGCATACGGTCCGGCGCAGTTTCATAACAGTTTTCATTTTGAGAACCAGAACAAACCTGTTATTCCAACCACCTCTTGCCGAATAGAGGAGAAAAATAATTCGAGATGGCCTTTGCTCATTTTATAAATTTCTTCACAAATAATTTCATTATACATCAATAAGAAATTATAAAACTCATTTTGCGACTAGAGTTTATAATTAATTCATCATTAAATTGTAGATTAGAAATATACTTGATAGCTTCTTCTATAAATTTCTTTGTAATTTCAATATTTCTTTCAAAAAGTGCCTTTTTGAAAACTGGTGGATTTAGCGACCTACTATTTAAAATATCAAATATATTATTTACTGTTTTTTATAAATTTAATTGTCCCAGAGCAAACCTGAAAGCATTGTATAAATCTGAAAGTTTTCAGTTTTAATTCATCTTGACAATAACTCAAAGAATCAGCAACAGATTGGCTCAATAATTGAACTGCTAAACGGACTATCATCTTTTGTTTAAAAAAATGTAAATGGACCTTCCTTAGATTATTTCCTAAGTGAAGAACCTCTGCATTTTGTAAATTATCTATTTTTTTTTATAAGTTTGCCATCGCAATCTTTAAAAATTTTTTTTTCGCAAAAAGCATTTCTGACATGTGACAGGGATCAAAAATTACATAATTTTTTTTTATTTAATGTAAAATATGGTTTCATGTAAAAAAAAATCATTTGATGAAGCCCCATCAAAAGTTAAAGACAGTACATGTGCCTGTGTAATTAATAATTTAATATACTGTGAAATTATATTCCACATTTTTGCCGGTAATTTCCATGTTGTAATAATGCCAACAATCATTAAAACAAAAGCTCCATTTTGCAACTTCAGTTAACTCATTATCAAAGTTCATTCATCATGGTTTTGAAGTGAAATTTCATCAATTAGTGACAGAATAATGGGGGTCTTTGAATTTTTTTAGTGTACCTACTAAAAGATTCTCTAAAGCCTGGCTCAGCATTGATATTTTGAAACCATTTAAAGTTATAGCAAACTTACGCAAACCAGTTATTGAATAGTTACTTTTTTGCTTTTGCAAATTAGCAATATTAGGCATATTGTCAAACACTACCATGTTTTCAGAGGAAATTATATTTTTCTAATTTAACTCTTTAACAAGAAGTTTTAGCGGAACAACTTTTTTTTATATTTTTTAAGTTTTTGTTTAAGAACTTTAATTTGTCTTGTTTTTCTTTATTCTTTTCAACTTGTAAAAGTTGTCTTCTAAGCCGTTTTATGTTATAGCTTCCTAGGATAGATTCTTATGTTCAGTTGTATTTGAAGAACCTGGCTCAGCTTCCAAATGCCATGCCCTTCTTTTTAAGTCCTGAAAACAATCAATTATTACTAATGTTTTGAATTATACACAAAAGATTTTTTGCTGGATCCATAGGAAATCTAAAATAAAACAACAAATAAAAATTGCTACAATTAAACAAAAAGCAAAAGTAAATTAGAATTTAATAAAAGTTAATATTTAGAATTGTACGACACGCCACTGGAAAAAATTACTTGTTTGGCGATGGTTTGGCCTTTTTATGCCGCGTTTGAGAATCCACATCGGATGCATTGTTTTACATCTCAAGCGTTTTTTTATCCACATTGGACACATCTGTCCCATTACATTTACGTATACTGAATCACG